AAGGCAGACGCTTAACGACTGAGCCACCCAGGTGCCCCGTAAACTCCTTGGGTCTTATTGAGATTCATGCCTAGGAGATTTATTAACCCATTTCAGCAGTTACATATAGTGCTGTCACAGCAGATCAAAAATTGGCACAGAATTTGATGAATTTAATAACAAAATTCTTACAAAATATTAACTGTCAATTCTTTCTATCATTTGGTCTTTCAACAATCCAACACATATTTTCTGAGTATCTACCATGTGTCAGGGCACTGTTGTAGGTGTTGGGATTACACTGGTGAATAAAACTAGTAAGGTCCTGTCATGGACACTCTACAATCCAGTGGTGGTGGATTGTAAAAAATAGCAAAGTGAACTGATTTCAGATAACAAGTACTGTGAAGATAGCAAAAGAGGGTAGTATGATAGAGGGTCTGAGGATAAGGGTGCTATGTTAGGAAGAGGGTCGGGGAAGGCCTCTCCGAGGATGGGACATTTGAGCTGAGGCCTGCCTGACTGATGAGAAGGACCCGTCTTTGTAAAGATCTGGGGAAGAGGATTGCAGGAAGAACAAAAATCCTAACAAGGAGAAGAGTTTAATGTGTTCACAGAGAAGAAAAAAGACCAATGTGGTTGGAACATAGTGAAGAGAGAGTGGCAGGAGAAGGTATCCAGAAGTCAGGGCTGGAAAGACAGATTTGGATGTAATCCCAAATAGAGGTGATAATTGAAATTATGGGATGAGATAAGATGGCCAAAGGAGAGAACATACAGAGAACTGTGCAAAACGCTGTGCCTGCTTGCAAGAGCATATGAAGCAGTTCCCTACCTTCCAAGAATTTACAATCTGGTGAAATTGGTGGGAGAAGACAAATCCCCCAAATCGAGAATAATAAAGACAGTGCATCATCAAGCCTTGCATGACATAGTACAGGTTTAAAAAAAAAAAAAAAAGTGAAGTTAGAAAAAAGTAACAATCATTGAGAATTAATGGTAAAAGGTTTTTTGTATAGGAGGTGATATCTGAGCCAAACTGACGGATGAGTTACCTTTGCAGCAGCTGAAAGGCAGAGGAAGAGAATCTCAGATAGAAAAACATGAGCAGAGACTTGAATGTTGGGGTAAATATGACAAATTTAGGCAAAAGTAGAGAAAATCTTCACTGTTGAGAAGTTGTTGAATGGGTGAGTTTGCTTTGGAATCTTGCTTTATCAATAGTGGGAGGGAGGGATTAAAACACCGAATGGTTAGATCTGAAATTACGGTAAAGATTAGCAATTGCCAGGACTCCTTAATTTTTGACATTGAATAGTGGTAACACCTCCCCACCTAATCACTTTTTATTATGATGTTGATGAATAATTATTACTTCAAGAAATGAAAACAATATAAAAAGGGGTAGGCTGAGATATCTTGCTCCTATCTGTCTTCATCCACCTTATTTTCCCTTCTTCCCAATAGGGAGCCACTTTTTTTTTTTTTTAAGATTTTATTTATTTATTTGAGACAGGGAGAATGAGAGAGAGAGAGCACATGAGAGGGGGGAGGGTCAGAGGGAGAAGCAGGCTCCCTGCCGAGCAGGGAGCCCGATGCGGGACTCGATCCCGGGACTCCAGGATCATGACCTGAGCCGAAGGCAGTCGCTTAACCAACTGAGCCACCCAGGCGCCCCAGGGAGCCACTTTTGATTTTCGTTTCAATCTTTCCAGTTTTCTTTATGCAGATGCAAACAACATGACTATACCTTATTTTTTGCCCCCTGCTTTAGTTTCCTTGGGCTATTATACCAAGGTGCCACAAACTGAGTAAAAATAAACTCTTAGTTTTGGAGGTTAGAAGTCCAAAACCAAAGTGTCACCAGGGCTATGCTCTCTCTAAGACTCTGGGCAGACTCCTTTCTTGTCTCTTCTAGCTCATGGTGGTGGTTGTCAGTTCCTGGCATTCCTTGGCTTGCAGCAGCCTTGCTCCAATCCCTGCCTCTGCCATCACATGCCATTCTCTCTGTGTGTCTCTGTCTTCACATAGAGTTTTTCTCTTCTTAAAGAACCCCATGCATGCTGGATTAGGACCCATCCTAGTAATTTCACTGTAACTTGATTATGTCTGCAAAGACCCTATTTCCAAATAAGGTCATATTCCCAAGTACTGGTGTTTAGAACTTCAACATATCTTTTGGGGAAAAATAATTCAACCCATAACAACCCACATTTTTTTACCCAACACTCCATGTTCACTATCCTGTACCTTCCTGTTAAAATTTTAACTATATATCTTGGAGCTCTTTCCATATCAATGCATAGTGATCTTTCCCAATCTCTTTTCATAGTTGCATAGTGTTCCATTATGTGACTGTCCTATAGTTTATTTCATAAGACCCCTAGTGATGGACACTCAAGTTGTTTCCAATCTTTCACTATTTAAATGAGTAATGTGTACATTTGTCATTTTGTATGCATGCAAATGTATCTGTGTGAGAGATTCCTGCCAGTGGGATTGTTGGGTCCAAAGATAAACACATCTGTAATTTTGGCAGATATTGCCATATTCCTTTCATAGGGGTTGCACCATTTTGCATTCCTACTAACAGTGGATGACACTCATCAAACTTTTAGAGTTTTGCTAATGTGTAACATGAGAAATTGTATTTCTGTGTAGTTTTGATGTCTTTTTCTCTTATGCACCTCCACATTTTAAACATTATTTTTTTTTAAGATTTATTTATTTATTTGAAAGAGAGAGAGGGCATGTGCACAAGCGGCAGGGAGGGGCAGCAGGAGAGGGATGGGGAGAGAGAATCTCCAGCAGACTCCCAGCTGAGCATGGAGCCTGTTGCAGGGCTTGATCTCACAACCCTGAGACCATGGCCTGAGCAGAAACGAAGAGTCAGATGCTTGACCAACTGGGCCACCCAGGCACCCCTAAACATTATTGTATGTATTATTTTAGGTAAATTTTTGGCCAAAAAACTATAATAAAAATTTCTAACTTCAAGGATATAGAATCAAAATGAAGTACCATAATCTATGGAAACATACTTAGGTAATTTGCCAAAGTTGGGCCACTACTGAAGAATATGACCCTTACTCTGATGACTCAAGTAATCCAACAAAATAATTTTCATTTAGCTAGGTCAGATATAATTTCATAGTAGAGAATGAGTGCACTCAACCTCATGAACTTTTAATATCCCTTAGGTTCTCTCCAAATAAGCAAAGGAGCACTTACTTAATGCATAGTATGGAAAGCTACATATTTTTAGGAGAAGCCAAGTTCCTCCTCAAAGACCCTGCTCTTTGTGGTTGGCTGTATTTGCTTTCTCATCCATCTTCTCTCAGTTGTAAAATTCTTTTTTTTTTTAATTCTTTTTTTTCTTAAGATTTTATTTATTTATTTTAGAGAGAGAGAGAGAGTGCAAGAGCAGGGGAAGGAGCAGACTTCCTGTTGAGTACGGAGCCCAACTCAGGGCTTGATCACACGACCCTGAGATCATGACCTGAGCCAAAACCCAGAGTCGGGCGTTTAACCAACTGAGCCACCCAGGCACCCCACTCAGTTGTTTCATTCTCAGTAGAGGCCATTTCCCAATTTCTTGAATAAAGTGTCAATACTGACACTTTATTTGAATATTGCCAACTCCTCTCACTGTTACAATCAAATTATACCATTTACTGTCCTGATTCTAAGTTGTCACAGTTTTGTTCTTAGGGAACATCTGGAGCATCTATGTAATTAGTTTTCACACTTCAGTCATGTGCAATATTCCTTTCTTTGCAGGTGGTACTGTGAAGGCAAGGAGCTTGAAAATTCCCCAGACATTCATATTGTCCAGGCAGGAAATCTGCACTCACTGACCATTGCTGAAGCCTTTGAAGAAGACACAGGACGCTATTCCTGCTTTGCTTCTAACATCTATGGGACAGATTCAACCTCTGCTGAGATTTATATAGAAGGTAAAACAAAATATTCTTAGAACATGGCCCTTACTGGTAAGACATATATTTATAATAAATATTTATCGAGGGCCTACTATACCACACACTCTTCTAGGCAGTGGAGACAATAGTAATGAACCAAATAGACAAAGGTTCATGGACAGATGGAATTTACACTGTGATGAGAGAGACCAAAAAAAATTGAGATAAATAAATAAAATATGTAATATGATAAGTATATGAAATGGTTCTGATCACCAATTCTAACCTGTGTGTGGTGTGTGGGGTTGGGTGTCCTACACTTTAACTCAGTTCTAACACCATTTACCTGGATATAGTGTCACATCCAACAGGTTAAGGGCTTAGTTCTACAAGATTGCTCCTACCTTACTTCAGATGCCAATCACAAGTATTAGGCCCCCAGGTTACCCACAGCTTCTGTCTCACTTGGCTACAAATTAGAGGTTTCCACAACCCCCTCCTTGGGCTCAATTAATTTGCTAGAGTGGCTCACAGAACTCAGGGAAGCACTTACTTACATTCACCAGTTTATTAAAGGATGTGATAAATGATACAAATGAATAGCCAAAGGAAGAGATGCATAAGGTGAGGTCTGAGAAGGTCCAGAGTGCAAGAGCTTCCATACCCGTAGAGTTGGGGTGTGTCACTCTCCCAGTGCGGATGCATTTGCCAACTTAGAAGCTCTCCATGCTACTGGGATTTTTATGGAGGCTTCCCCATGTAGGCATGATCAATTACCATCTCCATTTCCTACCCCTCTTCCTTCTCAGGAGGATGGTAGGTAGGGCTGAAAATTCCAAGCTTCTAATCATGGCTTGGTCTTTCTGGTGACCAGCCCCCATTTAGGAGCCATCCAGAGTCATCTCATTAGAACAAAAGATGCTCCTGTGCTCTTATCACTTAAGAATTTATAAGTTTTAAGAGCCCCGTGTGGTTCAAAGACAAATATTAGAACAAGATATGCTCATGACTTAGGAAATTACAAGTTTTAGCAGCTCTGTTGCTGGGAACTGTGGGCAGAGACTAATATATGTATTTTCTGTATCTCACAGTATATATAACACTACAGAAGAAATAGAAAGCAAGAAAAAGGGGGATAGGAAGTACACATATGTATATTTGTGTAAGCATGCACATGCATGGGTGTGTGGGTGGGGGGAGGGGGGCTGTAGATCTACAGATACGGTGGTCAGGGAAGACCTCACTAATCAGGTGACATATGAGTGAAGACCTGGAGGAAGGGAGGGAGGGAGCCACAATGATACTCAAGGGAAAACCACTCTAGGTGGAGAGATCAGTAGTACCCTGACCCTGAGGTAAGAGTGAGCCTGTGTTTAAGTATAGAGATGAACCAATGTGGCCTGGAGGGAGGAAACAAGGAAAAAATAATAGATGAAGTCAGAAGTTCAAGATGGGGTAGAGGTGGGAGGAGGCAGGTGAACAGATCGTGTTGGTCTTTGTAGGTCATTTTAAGGACTCTGGCTTTTACTCTGAGGGAGATGGGAAGCTGTAGAGGATTCTGAGCAGAAATGTGATATGATCTGACTTAGCTTTTAATGGGGTCACCCTGGCTCCTGATTGAGAATATACCTCATGGAGTCAAAGGTAGAAGCAGGGAGGCCATTTGGGAGCATTGGACAGGCATTTACATCAGCACCAAACTTATATGACTAATTTTAGGGAAGAAATCAATTTGTGTTCCTTATATATCTACCTAAGTTTTTTGTTCCATTTTATCTCGTCTCTGAGTTTTTTCTGAGGACTCTTCTTTAGCACTTTTATCATCTATGATACCTTATGTATGCCTTGCTTTTAGCCCTTAAATATTGTATTATTTTAGTATAAATTCTCTTTCACCAACTAGATTATAAAGCGGGACTGTCTCATTCTTTTTTGTATCTTTAATACCTTATGTAGTACCAAATATATAGGGAATATTTGATAAACATTTATTGAGTAGATGCATGAATAATGATAATAATGAATAGTGCATGGGGTAGAAGTGTGTTGTATGTTTTTATCCTCAAATTTTTGGAGTACAATAAATACCTCCAGATTTAGCTCAGTTATGCCTTCCTGGAATTCACTATCTTGAGAAGTAAATCCGAGATCAAAGCTTTGCTAAAAGTGCTGAGATTGGATTGCCGATTTTTTAAATTTGTGGCAACAGAGCTTCAAACACCAACACTCCCAAGATGAAATATGACTTGTTAATATTAGGGTTGGGCGGAAGAGCATCCACCTACACCTACAATGTTTAGAATCCAATGTAATCCCTCCTTTTATCTAATCTGTGTAGGCCAAGAGCAAGAGGATTTATGGACAGCATAAAATATATGCAAAAACTGCTCTGTTAGAGGCATCAGCAGGTGTTTTATATACAAGGACATTTGGCATTTAGGCCGGTTAATTTGAACTCTGTCACTAACTGGCCATGTGACCTTGAACAAGCCCTTCAACTACTTAGGGTCTGTTTCTCATCTGTAAGATTGGGTGTTAGTGTAGGAAATCACTGAGTTCATATCTAGGTCTGAAGTTCTATAGGCCTTCAAATGCCTAGGAACTAGTTTAAGAAATTATCATCTTAAAGATTTCATGTCTTGTTTTTACTTTTCCAGGGGTTTCTTCTTCTGACTCAGAAGGGGACCCTAACAAGGAAGAGATGAATCGGTAATTCTAATTTTCTATCCTATGGCTTTAGCAACCTCAGAGCCTGAGAAAACTGCTAATTGGTTTAGTAGAACTTGAAAAGTGTGGCTCCAGGATATGACCTCAAAAAATAAATATTGAGTGGATTTGGAGAACTCTACTTCTTTTGTTTTAAGTCTTACCTAGAAGAAGAATTTTAATATTCCCAATATTTTAAAAATGAGGTATCACCTATCATCACACTTATATCATCATACTATATCATACTTATAACTACAGAGTAAAAAGCAAATAGCCCAGTGCTCCAAAAAAAATTCATGTTTTGTGACTAAATAATAGTATTCAAAAGGACACAAAACCTGGTTACCCTAAATTATATATGTGAGTGATCTGAATAAGTCATAACCTTTTTGTTAAACAATTACACTGAGTACTGAACAAAGTTACATCCATCCATTCTTTACTTTCCCCAACCATCAACTTATCTACTCTATACCAGGCACTTCATTAGACACAATGGTTAATAAGAAAAATCAGATGCTTCCTACCTTTGAGAGGCTCACAGTCTACCAGAGGAAAATACATAGCAAATATAGCAAGAGATGTATACCAAGCATATAGACAGTAAGAGTAATAAAGTGTAATAGACTATGATGTAACCATGGGCAGGGTGTATCAGACTTGGCACAAACGTCTCTTAATTGGTTGGGGAGGGAATGAGAGATCAGGAAAGGCTTTGCAGAGTTGGTGACCTTGAGCTGGGTCTTAAAAGAACAGTAGGTGGACACCCCCAAACAAGGAAGGAAAAAGCATTTTCAGGCAGAGGAAGCTGTGGACAGAAGGCATGGGACCTGAAACAGATGCAAATTCCATTCCCTAAGATTACCTGAAACAAACAGCAACATTTGGAATATACAAACCTGAATAAGCAAGATATGATATACAAACTTAAATAAGCATGAAATATCTCGGTTGATTATTTTCTTTAAATCTACTTTTGGTAGTCAGGATTTAGCTTCAGTTCTGTGTAATAGACACCCCAAATGACAGTAACTTAAATGAGACAGATATTTATTTCCCATTTACATAAACATATGGATTTGGCTGGTAGAATGGCTCTACAACTCACTGGGTTCCAGCTGGCTTCCAGCTTCAACTCATTTTAAGGAATAGCCTCATCTTAGTCTCAGATTGCAAGGAATAAAGGGCATTCCCCACCCCCTTCTTAAGGTCATTTCTCTTAGATCAACATACATCACTATCCTTCATATCCCATGACCAGAGAGTAGTCGTATGGCTACACCTAGCTTAATGAAGGTCAGGAAATGCAATCTTTATTTGGAATAGCCATGTAAAGAAATCAGGAATTCTATTATTGTAGAAGAAGAAGATGGATGCTTTGGGGACACTGATAGCCTCTGCATCACTACATAATTCTGCTTCTGAGACGCCATCCTTCTTGTCTGGGAAAAAATTCAATCACTCATTATTGGGCGTCCCTTCCCCCCGCCCCCATGGCTGTACAAAGTTGATAGATACAGACATAGACATAGACATCATGTTTGATATTAAACACTGCTCTAAGCATCTTACATGAATTACCTTATTTAACACTTACAAAAACCCTCTGAAGTAAGAATTGTTATTTCCCCATTTTAAAGATGAAGAAGCTGCGGCAGAGGGAGGTAACAACTGGACAAAAAGGAAGCCCATCTTGTCATAAGTCATCTATCCCTATAGGATATGGGAGGGAGTCCTCTCTCCCAGACCCCAAGATCCCTTCAAGTCCAGCACTTTGTTGCTTCCTGACACGCGTGGGTACTGATACCTTTAGTAAGACTAGGAGCCTTTTAACTAGAGGGGTTGCCATCCCCTCTGAACTCTGGTTCTCCCTCTTGTCAGGTTCTCTGACAAGATCCTCAGACCTCTCTCTTCTCCACGGCAAAACTAAAATAATCTCCCTTCCACAGTCTTCTTGTGAATACTTCTTGGCTCTCTTGCCCTTTAAATAAGCTTTTTAATTTAATTTAATTTGTGTAAACTTGAGCTTGTTGACTCAGGCTATTTCTGCTTTATGCCATGCCAAAATCCCAGAAGCAAACATTTATAAAGCCTGGCCTTTTACTTGGAATGAAAGGGGGAGGGCAAATACAGAGGAAAATACAACAACAACAAAAATCTCAAAAAATTATCTTCTGCACTTGTCTTGAATCTCAGTTAGTTATGAATATTCTTGAGTCCTCAGCTGAGAGCCACTAACTCAAGGACAGTAGTAGCATCTTATCATCTTCTTGTTGACATTGCCTATCAAAGTGTATAGTAAAGAGGGGCACCTGGGTGGCTCAGTTGGTTAAGCATCTGCCTTTGGCTCAGGTCATGATCTCAGGCTCCTGGGATCGAGCCCTGCATCCAGCTCTTTGCTCAGCAGGAAGTCTGCTTCTCCCTCTCACCCTCCCTGTGCACTCTCTCTCTCCTTCTCTCTCAAATAAATAAATAAAATCTTTTTTAAAAAGTGTGTTTAAAGAAGTTAAGCATTTGTGGAATATTGTTGAACAAAAATTTTTATTACATCTAACTTGTAAGAACCGATGACATTACTAGCTTTTCTGAAAGAATTTTCAAAAACAATGATAAGTCTGTTTTAAAATCTATATTTTAACCATTTCTCAGAATCCAGAAGCCAAAAGAGGTGTCATCTACTCCCACTACTTCTGCAGCCATTCCTTCAGCAGCACCCCAAGCCCAGCATGTGGTGGCCCAGCCCAGGGTGACAACCATCCAACAGGTACAAGAGTCTAAGTGAAACACAGGTGCCATGGACTGTGGAGGGCAGGCACCGTGACCATGGCCATCTTGTATGGCATGATTGTATTCTCTGTTGCAACTTCATGACTTTGGGCAACACACTTCCACGGTCATGATAATGGCTTTGTACTTCTGATGCAGGATATCAGCATTTCTTATTGTTTCAGGAACATATTCTCTAGCCTCATAGGCAAATTTCACAGGAAAAGAAACTCTTTACTAATTAGTCTTGATATTCCAGTTTAATGAAGGGTATTGATTAGGGATACAAAGAGCTGTCAGCTCTCACAGTGGCCCAGGCAGGACACTCTATATCATGAAACTCAGTTTCGTGGAGCTGCAAATAATTCTACTTTCTAAGGTACAACAACCATGAAATGATTTTTTTAGAAAGCATTAAATGCTCTCATCCTTCAGGTTAATGATGATGATGATGATCATGATCATGATTATAATGCATGCTTATTGTAAAAACATTCAAAAGATACAGAAGTATACTCACTAAAAACCTTGGTCCATGTACTGCTCCCATGCCCCGACTCCTCAGAGGTACCTCTTGTTAATAGTTGCTAGCAGATAATTCCAGGCATTTTCTATGCATATATATGAATATATATAATATTTTAAAAATATGAAAACATACTAATCTAAATGTATTTTAATATGTTATTAATATATTTATTTATGTATAAGTAAACATATTGATCTACAACTTAAAAAAAAATTTAAACAGAGTTTCTTATTTAATCCATTTAGTAATGCCCAGGGGTCACATTTTAGTTCTAATCCAGTAGTTTTCAAGCTGTGATCTGTGGAGACTCAGGTTTTATGGAACTTCCTCAGGGGTTTAGGGTTAATTACAACCAATAGAGCTCTCTCTGTGTTGAGGCTGTGGGGATAGACAGCACTTATTTTACAACCACCATGACCTAGAAAGAAATACAATCAATTCAGTATCATATTTGAAGTCTGTAACTCATAGACTTAGAAAATGTCAGTTTTTTGGTTTTAGATTAATCGCATGTACCAAATTCCGTAGATTTGTTCTATTTACCTATCATCTAGGTAGTAATCATAGTGACAATGAATCTACTGTTTGTTCCCTTCTAATAGTGTCAGAGCCCCACCAACTATCTGCAAGGATTGGATGGAAAACCGATCATTGCAGCTCCTGTGTTTACAAAGGTAATCAAAATACCACTTCTTTCTGTCATGGCTTTAAACATACCACAGTACCCACACAAAACTGTAGGATCCATGATTTACTGATTTAGCTCAGGATTTTGGTCTTTTATAAGTACTGTATAAGGTTTGGGGTTTTTGGTAGTTGTTTCCACGTTATTTCAAGTCCCAGATTTCTAATAATAGTTTGCATAATGAGAGGAATGTCTTCCCCACTCACCACATTGATCTCTACATGGCCATCTTATTGCTGTTAAATGGGGTAGCCACACCTAGGGGTCAGGTGATAAGTTTCTAGCCACTCTCTACTCCAAAGGTTTCTCCGGACTTTCAGAAGAATCACGTTGCAGGCACATGTCTCTTGTGTTCAAGGAGATGGAGTTAAATGATCTTAGGAGGCTTAACATAAAGGAACACTCTAGGATAAAGAACTTTCTTTTTCTATTCCACATATCAACTATTGCAGCGGCGTCAAATTCCGAGTCTCAGAGTCTTTGTATTCAGAACTAGAAAATTTACTCAAGCACTTTCATTTACAAATGAAAACACAAGGGAGGGCCAGGGACATGAAGCAGTTTATCCAAGGTCACAAAATGAGTTAGTGGCAGAATCAGGACTAGAAACAAGCTCTTCCAATTCCCAATCTATTATTCCTTCCTTTATATAACATACATTATTTATGCGTTGCCCAAGACAACAAATTTAAAGGTGAAAATTGAGTCACATTTTTTTTTTGGTATTATGAAGACCACATGGATGAAATCTATACCTGGATTTATAGCTTATTGTTTATCTGAATGCCGAACTTAGGCCCAAAGAGATTTTGTCCTGTCAGAAGTATGCCCCCCCCCTCCCCCCGCCCAAGAGACATTTGCAATGTTTGTAGATATTGTTGGTTGTCACGACTGGGAGATTGTGCTGTTGGCATCCAGAGATGCTGCTAAACATCCTGTAATGCATAGAATGACAGCCTCCTGTGGGGTGTCCTAATTGGGTGGGGGCCAGTGGGTGTGGGTGGTAAAACAAATTCACCCAAGGCAGAACAAAGGAGATGGACAGTAGCTGACTACACTGCAAAGAAGCAGCAGGCCGGACAGCAAAGAAAAGAGGGTCTAGGAGGCAGTGGTGAGGGGCTAGAGTTATAGGGTGGAGTGAGGCCTTATGCCGATGTATGGACTTTTCCCTTTTATGGTTATCTTGGAACTATCCCAGGTAGTAAGTAGCCCATTAGTCGGTTAGAAACTGTGGCTTAATGAGCTTGTTTGCATTTAGCTTGGTGGTTGCTGTGGGCCCTTTGGCCTTGCTCAAGTTTCCATTGTTCAAGCCTATGGCCTAAAAGCAGCTTCTAGACCTCCCACGATAAAGAATTATCCAGCCCAAATCATCAATAGTCTTGAGGCAGAGAAAGTGTGGCTTAGAGCAAAATGGCATATTTTCCAGAGAGTATGAACCCTGAGGGAAGAGCTTAAGGCACAACTTCCACGGAAACATAAGTTTTAGGAAAGTTCCATCATTTAGGCTCATCTAAGATGGTTTTTCAAAATCAAGCAGAGCCTAGAGTGAGACACGTTTATCCATATCCATATCAGTTGGGCAGACATTCTTATGTGAAGCAAGATGCCTCTCGATTTATCAGGTTTGTTCCTTGTAATCTGCTTTTGGAATTTCAGCCTTGCTATTTTCAAAGACTTGAGGTAGGAAAACAACATATTTGTGACTTGGAGAATACAAGATTTTGATGAAGAGTTATAAGTGGACCTTTGTATAGGGGTGTGTGTGTGTGCACGTGCACGTGTGTAATATGGCCAATAGAGCTACAGCTAATTGTCTCTTTTTTCACTACTAAGTCACCTACTCTTAAAACAGTTTAAGTGCCACAGAATCAGGACATTTCTTTTTAAGATTTTATTTATTTGAGAGAGAA